GAAAAATATAATCATACAGGAAAGGCAGGCAGGCATGGTAGAGGAGAGGAGATTTTTTTTTTGAAGTGATTGTTGTTCAATGATTGAACAGTTGAGTGTGTGAAAAACATATTGCTTTGAGGTTTATTTCCATTCAAATATTCTGCTTTGTTGCTTCCCTTTACTGCATTACAAAAAATAAAACTTATAAGTACTAGGATGGAATCGGATTTGGGAGAAAAACTTTTGGCATGATGCTATCGAGATGTTTCCTGATTGTTCATTTCCTTTGAGATTAGAAGAGAAAAACTTTTCTTCTAATTTCCTTTGGATGTACATTAGTTGAGGGGATCCATTAAGATTTGCATGATTGTTTTTAGCATTGATTTGTTTCCCCAAAATACAGTAATTCACTGAACGAACGGTACAAAAGAGTCTGACTTTAATATTCTCTAAATTCCATTTTCTCGCTCATCAAGTTAGTGTATTAAAAATTTTATATGCTTTTCACTTCTTTAGTTAAGCATGTAAACTGTAAAGAATAAAACTTTAACTCATATTTTTTCATTTGATTTAAATCAAAACTTTAAATGAAACCATAAATCACATTCTAATATTTCAACAAAAGTATGCTCTTACAAATACAAAAACACACAAAATTCCATAGATCCACAGACTTCTGCCCTCAAGGCATTTGTACTGATTATTTTTTGCTGTTAAATATCTATTCAACTTTAATCCATTTGCTCTGCAGAAAAGCAAATTTTTCTTTATTTATTTTTAGATTAATTTTTTCTAAACATCAGCAAAAAGATTCATCAATATTATGTATGGGCATGAAGACGAAGGAGCTTGAAGAGAATAAAAAAAGAGGAAAGAGAAATAATTGACCGTTAAAATACAATATTCCGCAATGTCTGTCTTTTGCAGGAATGTATAGCAACAGCAGCAGCAATATATTTTCGCAGAAAGAAGTCATTCAACCAATGATCATTTTCTGATTGTATGTTATGTTTGAAATTATATATAAAAAAGCAATAATAAAAGATTCATTCACCTGAATAAACAGCGGAAAATGGCAAAAAACTAAATGAAATTTTCACTCTCACTGCTGCTGTGAATGCTTACTGCTCCTTTTTTTCTCGAATTGTTGCTTTCTCTCTCAGTACGCGCCATAAATAAAATTATGGCATTAAAAACCCATTAAGATTCATGCATCAGAAAATCGCTTTTTTTTCTCATTTTTCCAAATCATAAAAAAATTAAAAGGATTCCTTTAAATAGTACATTTTCATATGTTTTGCTCTCAGTTCCAAGGGATAATTTTCCTCGTCTTATTTTTTTCCGCTACTTAATTTTTTCTACATGAGATGCTGCTACATGTTTTGTACGCATCCACATGTTATTTTTTTTGGCGCGAAAATTATTTTGTATAATATTTAGAGTTGGATTAGTGATGCTGAGCTTCTAATAATTTTCAAATTTACATCTTCTTAATAGTAAATTTTATAGCTATTGCTATAGCTAGATCAAAAATATTTTATGCTTTCAAAGTTCGTAGGTATAAATTTTAAATGAGAATATGAAAATCCTTGATGAAAAGCATGTATACATATTCAAAATTGAATATATCAAAAAATGCCATTACTGCTTAGTATAATGTGTAATGGGGGTAGCAATTTGAATTCTTATGACATTTCACAGTGTAAAAATATGAAAAGTTTATTTATGCAAAAAAAAAATATATACCAGCAAAAATGAAATTTGTTTCTCTTCTCATCATAAGTATAGATCTTTCCACCCATTATCTCACCCTATTTCACATGTATAGAAAAGAAAATTTTCTTTCTTTACAATATGATGTGATACAACTTGCTATAAATGGCACTTTTTCTATGAATATTTTATACATTTATGATGCAGAAAAAAATTATTCTGAATGTGTATACGCCTTAAGAGAAATAGTCTAACATATAAAGTGCCATCAAAAATATTAAGATTAGGAGAGCACAAGCAGCATAAGCAGTTGAGCAAAAGCATACATATGAGTATTATAAATAATAAATGATGCACAATTTATATATTGAATACACGTTTCTTTCATACATGTATGTACATATAAACGTTCAAGCATCTTACTTCATTTTTCCCAAAAAAAAATAATATAAAGAAAGGCAAAGAAATGAAAACAGGCAGTTGAAGTAACAGAATAAAGGAATAAGATATGATTGCTTTTTATTTTCTCACAGAACGAGTGCAAAATAATTTGAAGAAATAATCGTAAAAATAAAATGCGAATCTATGACAATCTAGCTCATATTTCTAGAAAAAACAGACTTTGTTAAGTTTCGTTTAATCCTGCTTAACTTTAAACAATCACAAAGTTAAAGCTAGTGACTCATTGAATTTCTGATTACATTTACAATAAAAATTTGAATTTTAAATGATCGTAAAAAAAATTTTATGAAGAATGTTTTTTAATCGTAGATAAAAATTTTTGATAATTTTTCGTTTTACGACTTTCGGCAAAAATGCTCTTTGATCATTTGTCGCACGGTGATATTTTACTAGTCTTCCTCTGATTTTTGACGCGCGAGTTCTTCAAATTTCATCTCATTGAAGATGAGAAGGAAAAATAAGTTTCTCACTCTCGGTTTACATGAAGCAACGAGCAACAACAGCGAAGAAAATGAGAATGATGATGAGAAGTGTTGTAGAAGGTATATAAAAAATTATGCAAACGATTATGATCAAGTAATAAAAAAGGCATCACAATGTCGCAAAATATTTATGAGTCTACACACAATATTTGATTCATCTATACACATATGTTGTTGCTCATGATGCTGATAAAAGTTATTTTACTTTATTATAGTTTCTCCCCTCGAATAAAAAATAATAAAATTAATATCGTTTCAATAATAAAAAAGTTTCGAATTATCATTATCATTTCCTTTATTTTTATTACCAAAACCTCAAATTTCTATCAATCGATCGATCTTTCTACCTTGTTAATCTAATCTTTCATTTGATTCTTTTATATTATATTTCTTTCGACTTATTTTTTTATTGTGTCGTCATACTTTGTGTGATGTCGCATGACATGATAAAAATGAAAATAATTTTTTTTATTCATAATTAAGTAACGCTTTATTTTATGTTTATTATTGTCATAAAAGTTATTTCTTCTTTTATTCTTTCCAACTTTTCTTTCGATAATAAGAAATATGCAATAAAAAATAAATTATTTTGTGAAAAATGAAGAGAGGAAGTCGGCAATATTTTATAATGAACTGTAAAAGATTTTAATGATTTTAAAAATTCCTCATTTAAAATGATTTTGAGGTGTTTGGACCAGATTTTTCTAGCAAGAAACAATCTAGTTAATTCTTGATTTTCCTTAATCCATTCAAATCAAGAAAAGATTTTTCCATTTCCCTTTATTTTCATCTAATCGCTGCAAGTCGATAAAGCAAATTACTTTAATTAATCAATCAAATTTCCATTAGAATTCTCAGCTCATTTTCATTCTTCTTGTATATGTGTTAAAGTTTGCATTTCCAAGGGTCAAATTCCTGTGAGATTGCTTACAGAATTAGATGAGCAGGAATAACAGAAACAACAAGAAATCTTTATTAACAAAATAATGAATGGAAGGGAAAAAGTACAATAATTCATAAATGAAATTCAATTACATATGCAGCAACGTGGGTGGAAACGTGATGCAGGAAAACTCATCTCGTCCCTCATTCGGTAAACAAAGAACTATGAAATTGAAGAACTTGAACACATCAAGCATGTTTCGTGTCAAGAGACGACGACAATATAATTATTAAGAAATTATCAATTTAACTTCGCTTAAGTGCAAAAATCATCAATTAGATTTATACAAACATGCAACACAACTCTAATCTCATTAGGGAATTCCGTTTCTTGTGAATGTACATTTGAATGGTGGGAATGATAAAAGGGTTAAATGTGAACATAGAAAAGACATTAGAGGGAAAAAGATGAGCAATTTTTCTGATGCTGAATAATTTAAATAAATAAATCAAATAAATTTTTGTCTATTTTGTGGATGTTGAAAATTGTTTTTAATGCTTGAGAGTGCATAAATTAGGGATTTGGTTTGAAAATTTCAAGAGTCAAAAAGGTTTGCGTTTTAGATGAAATGTAAAATATGCTTGAATATTTAACTCTTTCAAATTATTTAAATTATTCATATCAAACGCTTAACATTTGATGGAACTAAAGCTTCATTTTATATTGTATGTCATTTAATGTCAGAAATTTGAATATAAGGTAATCAAAAATTATATCCATGAGATTTCTTGGAATTAAAGACGAATTTTTAAAAATAGAACAATTCTTTCAGGAAGTTTGATACCTAAAAGATTTATTTCCATTTATGAATTCAAATCCCTTAAATCTTCTAAATGTAATAAAATTCAAATCAATCACAATTTTCTTGGAAGGTCCTCAGGAGGATAATGTCCATTGATACTAAGCTTTTTTATTTCATAATTTTTATAAAAAAGTATTTCAGAACTTCGGACGTGTACTGTAAAAATTTTACACTAAACTCATCATGAACTACATCTAATCCTTTCAATGATTCAGCAAAGTTTTGTGTCTAAACTTCATTACATAAATTTACTATTCTTGCAAAATGATTCATCATTATATAATTGTTTGTAGTGGATATGAGATTTTATTTATCGCATTTTAATTTTCATGAAACGTTATTGGTCATGCTCATGTTGGCGAGAGACTTTCCAGCATTGAAGTCTCTCTATATTTAAAGAAGAAAAACAGTCCTTTTTCGAGATTGGCTAAATGATTTTAAAATACACAGCTTTGCTTCCTTTTTTTGGGATAAATATTTAAAGTCAAGTAAAATCTTTTGGGATTTTATTTACTGATTGAAATATTTATAAGTCAGCAACTTAGAGCTTATTCAACAACAATATACTTTAACTTCAAGAATGGTTGTATTAAAAAAATATTCAAGAGGTACTCACCAATTATTTACTTGTAATATCGTTAAACCAGTATCTTGTGCTAATTGTTTTTTCTGGTCTTCTGAAGGATAGGGATGCTGAAAAAAACAATAAACATAAAAGTTAAATAAACTCATTAACAGAGAGTGAATAAGAAGAAAATGAAAATAATAAACAAATTTTTTGATTGAAATGTGCAAATTGTTAGCTTCCTTAATTCCCTTGATTTTCACCAGTCACGTGCATCAGCTCAATGGCTATGTAATTTTAAAGAAAAACACACAACACAACGCACACGTATCATCTGACATTCATTGCAAAATAACAATAATAATAATTTTTTTAAATATTTTTTTGGGAAATATAGAATGTAGAATGAATGAGTAAGTGACTGAGTGAATTTGTATAAAAAATTTTTTTTTTGATTGACGTCATAACACGAGTCAGACTTTTTATATTTTTTATATTGTTGTTATTACTCATTGTTATTTTAATATAATGTAAAATTCTGTGAATGTTTATTTTATTTTATTGTGCAATTTGTTATTTACAGTTCTTTTCTTTTATTCAAAATTGATTTCCAGTTTGGTTAACCCATCCTCAAACTCATCATATATGTACGTGTATCATATAGTTTGAAGACGAGACTTGTGATGTGAATGAATACAGAATACATCAAGCAGTTCTCTTTAAAATTCATCTTTCAAAAATCCTTTTTTGGATGTAACACACATAATAATACACAGCAACTTCAATTGAAATTTTATGGATGCAAAAAAGGGGAATATAAGAAGAAGCAGAAGAATCATCAACGACAACAAAACGCCTACATCTGGCGGAAATGTATTAATTTCTACATTTTTTTCTCTTTCCTTACTTTAAATGCGACAAGAATTTTTTTTTTGTTTTTTGATGAAGAAATATTATACATGAACATCGACTTTATATTTCTTCTATTTTTTTTTTTGTGAGTGAGATAGAGATGAACTAAGCCGTGAGAGAGGAGAAGCAATCCCATAGGAACAAAGTACTTTTATTGAAAAAACATTCTTCGGTTGGTTTACCATCGAGAAAAAAACAATTATCTTATTGTCTATTTTTTTTTTCTCTTCATCCTTGGCATACAGAGAGATGTACACAAATTTATCCACAAGAGGGTTGAATAATATAAAGGAAAAAAATATAATATAAAAAGTGGTAAACTGTATTTTCATGAAAAGAAAAGAAAAGAAGGCAACAGAAGCAGCAAAAGTGGTGGAACTTTTTTTCATAAAATATTCATTGAGATGTTTCGTTGAGAGTTGAATTGAATTCGTGTGTTTTTTTCACTCAAAATAAAATAAGACAGAAAGAAAGGAACAAAATATATTCCGGACGTTTATATTCAATGAATATAATAAAAGGAAAGGAATCAATTGGTTTATTTGGTCTAGTAATCCTTTCATAGTAAATTAAGTAATTGTACATGTAAATACATTTGTAGGACTTTCATTCTCATTCCTTTCAATAACATGTATTTTCTTCATCTTATTTCTCAATACAGCAACACTCGACAGAGCATGAAATTTGATCTTATTACAAATTCTAGTTTTATATATTATAAAGCCACACAGCACTTCTTTCCGTCTTTATTTGATTGAAGAGATGGAGTAAAAAAAGGACAATGGAATTATTATTTCATTTGATTGGATAAGTGCATTTGAATTTTCTTTTGTGACCTTTTATTATTTTTGTGGATGAAGAACAGTTTGTAATAAGAAAGGATATAATAAGGAGGAAATTCTAGTTCTTTAAAAAACTTTTTATTTAATTTGATTCAAAGGATTCTTAAATAGGATGATTCGTGAAGGATTTCTCATCAGCAGCCGTTTCTTAGAACTGAATACAATTCAAAGCATAGCTAAAATTTTATCATGACATAATTGAATAATTTTATGGACCGAATCACATATTGCACCTATCCACTAACCCCTAAAACCGCTCCCTCATGTCGATGACCACTCAATGAGATGAAGACGGAAAATTGTAGTCTGAAAATGTTCCCTTTTGTAGTTTTTGAATTTTAATTAAAATTTTCTTCCTCACATGTACAATATGCAGCATCAATGCTTATTGTTGTGTTTCTTATACACTGTACATGACTTTCTGCATTGTCATGCAATGCATGTAACGAAAAATTAGTTTAATTAAGGAAGCAATGCTAATTGAATTTTGTAGATGTAAAGAATGGAATAATATCATTGATACTGCTGCTTATTTTGAAACTCAGACTATAATATCAGACAGAAGACAGAAAAAATTCATGTTGCTTTTCCTGTCTCTAATGTTTTTATTTCATCATCATCATCACATTTCCCCAACTCATTCTTATTGTGAGCCGCTGCTGCTACTACTATATTGCCTATTTCTAGAGAGTGAGAGAAGGTGTAACTTGACTCGATGCCAAATTTATATAAAAATCATTGTGTGACACGATGTGAACCTGCAGAAAATTGTTATGTGTACTTTATTATTAGAAATCATGTCGCCTGTCATGTGACAAACGACCTCAAAAATAATACACGTGCAATTTTCCGTATCGGAGAGAAGCAAAAGAATTATTTTTTTGTTCCTGTTCTCTCAAAAATAGTAAGTTTGCGTTTCTAGATGATAACGAAAATTTCTGTTGTTAAGGAGGAAGTTTAAATCACGCCCAAACACGCACCTATAATCAATGCTTTTCTGACTTTTCGACTCAATGACATTCGACTATTTATTCTTGAAAATTCTCTACGTCTATAATGAGGTCTTCCCTATTTATGTATTTTGTTGTATGTGCAATAAATTTACAACATGAACCAAGAATAAAAACGAATGAAGACAAAAAAAAATTGTTGCTGATGATGCTGCTGCCGTTAAGTTGCTATCTAATGATTAGGTAAGGTATCTAACAATTTTCTAGCATGTATGATATAAAAAAATTCTCATCTCATGTTGATTGTCGATTAGACTATTACATTTGGGGTGATACTTAAGCGAGCATCATGTTCATGTAACGCCCACTAAAAACGAAAACAATTTAATGCTCTAAACGTATATCCCTTGAAGCTATACGAAAATGAAGTAAAGAAATTGTAGGTTTAGGTATATAATTTCCTTAAAAGTTATAATTGAAGCTTATGCCATGAAATGAATAGAATGAGAGAAGAAAAAATTGACAAAATTACATTATTTGATGATCTAAGGGAAAAAAGTCAATGACGAAAGGCAAAAAAATTCCCATCGCACAATTACACTTTCAACGCCTGCTTTTTCTTGAGAAATTAACTTTTACTCCATTTATTTTATGGAATCATTTAAGGAAATAGTAAAAAAAATATGTGAAGTGATAGTTTGAAACTTTTTCATGTAAATTTTTGCACTAAAATATAATAAAATTGACATTTTCACAAGTCATTTCAAATGGGGTTACGATTTCATCATTATTTTTATTTTTATGTTCCATTCTACTATTGTGTTCTGTATTTATAGTAGCAAGAAAGAAATGTCGGAAATATTCAACTGAATATCAATATCATACATGAGTCTACATGTACCTATATAAATATTATTGTTTAAACTTTTTTTTATGTGTTTATTGTAAAAAGTAATGGTAATACATCATATTTTTATCAGTTATAAAGCAGACGTCAACAATTTGTGTAGTGGCTGTATATGTGTATACTCGTAAAGGGAATGAGAAAATCGCATAGATATGCGTTTGCATAATAATCACATTTTTTCGCTGTCTCTCTTTCTCTTTCCTGTTCTTGGCAATTGTTTGTGGGATTTTATTTTATTTTATGCTCCTACTTGTAAAGTAAACACGAATGCGTGATGACGTCCTTATGAAAAATTATAAAATAAAATTTGTGTGCATAATGATTACTGATTGCAGTGGTTAATTTATGTGAATTTATTAAAAAAAACAACCTGCCAGTAAATGTGTAATTTTGCCTTAAATTGGTCAACTAAAGAATAAACATGAAAACCTTAGCCAGAGGATTAAAATTAACATTTGCACAAAAATAAATGACAATTTAAGATAATTGTGATGTAAATTTTCAAAATTTGTCATTTTCAAGAAAATTTAAAGACTTTGGGTTTTAACAATTTCTTGCCAAATTCCAGTTGCTGTATTTTTAATCGCAACTGCTATTATAATTCCTTCTTGAACCTGTTGTGTATGTATATATATCTCTACCATTAATATAATTTTCATCTTTTTTTTACAAAATATATAACACAAAACCTAATTATTTAGCATTTAAAATGGCGCTGCCATTTACATATCGTCGTTGTCGTAGAAAATGCCTTTCACAATTAAAATATGTACGGTTAAATACATTTTCATGAAAAGTGTTTGTTGCGAGCAGAAAGAAAAAGAAAGGAGGCAAAAAAAATGTTAAATGAGCGAATATATTCATGATATTCATATGGTGTGTATATGTACATACGACACAATGGTAAAGAATACGTTTTCATTTTCATACAATAAGGAATTTAAAGAATGTAATCTGCCTAATATTATAACTTAAGTAACGTAACATTCATATACATAAGAATGGCTTTTTTCTCCTCCACTTCAATATTACAGAATGAATTCTTTTGCTTCTCACATCTGAACAATTTCTCTGTTATTATTCTTATTTTCATTCAACTTTCTTTTCGGTAATTATTTTATCACATACCGTAACCGCAAAATATTCATTTTTCATACGCAAGAATAAAAACAAAATTAAGGAAAAATAATGAAAAGAAAGTTTTTAAGACGCTGAATTTAAATGAGAAAAATATTTCTTAAACTTTACAGTTTGATAAGAAATTTTTATTGTTGGGAGATTTAATAAGATGACACGGCAACAGAAGAAAAAATAGCTTATCAAATTAATACAGCAACTATTGCGATACAAGTTTCAATTCAGCCTTCTCCGAAATAATTATATCAACATGCAATATATAGCATGTACATAAATTTAATTAAATTCTAATGAAAGAGCTGAGAAAAGCCTCAAGTGAAAATAATTTTAATCAAAAGAAAATCATTTCTGTGGCAAAGAGGAGAAAAGAGATATGGAGCCAAAAATAATATTCACTTAGTCAGTCACTCAGTCCATCAATCCATCTTTATATAATAATTTTGTTTGTACGCCGTATGATATTGTAGTTCTCATATGTTTCACAAGTTTTTATTAAATTCTAACACCTTCTATAAATCACTCAAAATGCGTGTTCCACATACAGATTTAGAGGAAATTTTCATGGATGTATGGTACACAACAGAGAGTGTACAAAGAAAAGAAAGAAAGGGTGAATGGTGTTTATATGCTTTTCCACATTTTTCCTCCTTTACCATCTGATGAGTACATGTATATTGCTACTATTGCTGTACATTATGCAATTGGTGAACGAGAGCGAGGGTGGAAAATTTATACATACTGATGTAAGTAAAAAGAGAAATGGAAATAGCATGACAATTTTATTATTTTCATTTCATTCTCATCAGAATTTTTTTCATTTTCTATTACTAAATACATGAAGCACTAAAACTCATAACCAGAACCGATGAAAGTTACTGTATTGCAAGAGAAAGACAAAAAGAAAAGCAATTAGAAACGTAAGTTACACATCCAAGCCATGGCATACAATTTTCATTAATAATTGAATGAGATGTGTTGTGCAACATATGTGCATAAAATTTGAATTGTCTATTTCTCTCTCAGTCTGTAAACACACTAGTTGGACGTGCATGATGATGTCTATTCTATTCAATGATATGCTATTTGCTAAAAATTGCTAACGACATAGAAATAAAAAAGATCAAGCTAGAGCGACTGCACAATGACAATAGTTAAAACTGAGTTCACATAACAGAATATAGGCAAAATTCTCACAATTAGTACAATGGGATGTTCACAATTCGATGAGACACAATTTGCTATCAAAAAAAGTTTTTTTTTTCAAATACCCAGACAGTCATAGTGAAGAAAATGAGACCACCTGCGATACACATCATTTACACCATGTTTCAAACGCTTAATTAGATTTTCGCGACTCTGTTCTATGTGCGCTATTTCTCCTTCTTTCTCCTTTGTGTAATTTTTTGATTCGTGCGCGATCTTTAAATTCTGTATGAGTTTTAAAATAATAGTTTAAAATATTCAATAGGCCTTAGGAATTTGCTCTTTCGTGTATACACAAAAAAAAAAACGAAATTAAATGAAACTTAAATTGTTTTAGATCGATTTACTTTACAGAAATAAATATATACATGTACATGCATTGAGCAATTTGCTCGGCATGATACCGAAATTGAAAAAAAAAATCATGAAAATAAATTTTTTTAAAAAAGAGGAATCAGTGCGAAGATTAGTTTGTTGCATGAAATCTTTTTTTTTTCATTAAAGCACATGCTCCACATGATATCAAATCAATCAAATATTAATGTTATTTCATGTGTATATTGGTATATACTGTAAATTTGTGGAAGGCATTTCAAAGGCTTAAAGATAAATTAAATCATTTGGAGAATTTAAATTCCATGAAACTTGAGTGATGGCGTTCGAAAATCAAAAAGAAGAAAGCAAAAATCAAAGGGAAGATTTTGTAATAAAAAATTGCTTAAAAAGATCTTCTTTGTAAATATTGCACACATCAATTAAGTGTAGAAGATACTTAATTAGTAAATTAATTAACTACATACCGTTAGATGTTGAAAGAGCCACGCTCTAAGGATATTTGTTGCCACTTTTGGAAATATGCCACGTTTCTTTTGATTCTTTTTTCCATTTGTATCGTCATCCTCCTCACCCGTTCCTTCGCCTGACCCCACACTTGCATTGCTGGCATCACCTGGAAAAATAAAATAAATAAAAATTTAATTAAATATTTTTACTCGTATTTAAAATTGGTTTGGTATTGCTTCCAACTTTTCTGGAGTAACGTATGTTGATGTAGCTAAGTTTCAAATAAGGATCAACATTTTTCCAGAATAGCTGGATTTAAATAATTAAGAAGTTTCTGTCTCATTTAATTTCTGCTGCTAGTTCTGCTATTGGTGCTGAATGAAAACTCACAACAATTTATGCGAATTATCGATTTAAAGCACACAACTGAGAATTTTTATTATTTTCATACAATGAAAATGAATTTAAAAAATATAATTGCGTGTTTATTTCATTTCACAAGCAAAAACTCGAAACATGAAAAAAAATGAAATTAAAAATCACCATCACAGTCAATTTCCCCCACGATTATAAATATTTAACATTTTTTCCTCATTTTTATTTTTTCATTCTCCTCCTCTTTCTTCTCCTTCATTTTATTATTGCCCATTATCATCAGGGTGTACTGCTGATTATTTTAAAACACACAATTTAAAACGATTAAAGATTAAAAAAGTATTTAAATATTTTTACAGCCTATCAAATTGAAACGCAATGGATATTATTCCAATTTCTGCGTCAGTGCCTCAATACACAACAATAATATCAACTTTTTTTCTCTGTTCTGTGTATAAATATATTTTAAATTGCTCGTTCTATGAAAAGGTTTAATAGAACATATAACGACATACAAGCTTGTCCCTTACCGCCATTCAGCAGTTTGTGTACACACAACATTTTGAGTATGAGAATGAGAATTAAGCATTTACAGAGCCAAAGAGGAAAAAAAAGAGTAGAAAAGAAGAGTGAAAACATTATGCAAAAAGGAGACCGTAAAATGGCAACATTTATACGTGATTATAATCACTTTTTATCGTGTATATAGCCGACCATACATACATATAGGATATTATACAACACCCTTGGTTGTCATAGTTGACTCTCTCTCACTCGTTCAATATTACAAACATTTCCTAAAATTGTTTTATGTTCAACTCATATGCTTTATACGTACCTATCTATATGAAACTCAAAAAAAGGCATAGAACATTGCATGCATGCAAGTAAGTGATGGAAAATGGAAAATTTTTAAGCCACACACATAATGTGTACAGCATATTATATTCCTGTCATGTATGCGGTGATTTCAGATAAATTTGCTTCAAAAATAAAGATATGCCTTCTACCAGAGAACTGTTTTTTTTAAAAAAATGTCTTCGAGGCATGGATAAATTTAAATGAGATTTTTTTTCATTTTACATTTTAAATGTTCAATTTATATTTGAATTATTTCAAGAGATTCAATGAGAGATTGAGTGGTTGCGATTGTAAAACATATTATTGGAATTATCAAAAAATTCATTCGGAAATATTTTTGCCCTTGGATATTTTTTGTCAGAATGTTCACAGGACTTAGTAATTTATAATAACATACATAAGTGGTGTTGAGCATTTAAGTACCAATTGTGATGAATCTATTTTTTTTTGAATAATTTTTTCCTACTAGAAGCAATTTACTAAATGATTTCTTAAAAGAGTCATAAATCAATTTTTCAATGTTAACATATGCAGAGTGTCTGGTTCCAATTGTTTCATTATACGAAGCTTAATTAAAAATTATTAAAATCACTCTAATAAATTTTCGAAAAATTTTAAATGCCAGCCACTCATTTGACCCTTATATCTTTTCAATCTTCATTTTATGTGGCATTTCTCCACCTACTTTCCCATAATTTTATTCCTAATACCTCTCAGAAATTCAAGATCTTTAACTTATCTTTAGCCAACCGAAAGGAAACTCATCGAAAAAGTCTTCATTTTACAGTGATATAATAATAATAGTAATAAAATAATTCCTTCTAATTGTGTGAAAAAGTCAAAAACTTTTGTTTTAATCTTGATATGAGACACACAATTAAGAAAAGGAGAATAAATTTCAGAATTTTTTTTATTAAAGCTCTTATCAAATCAAAATGATCTTTTTTCTTTGTCATTTAATTTTCTAAGACATACATATTCATTCACATGATGTAATACAGAGACAAGAACAGATTGTATGAAAATCCGAGGCGATGGCTCAAAAGTGTGTAATCTTATATCGCACTTGAGAACAAAAAAAAGTTTCAACTACACTTTGCGATGCCTTTTGTTGAAGAGTAAAGAATTTTGTGTTTATTTTAGTTTTGAATGAATGAGGAGGAAAGAAAAACAACTTTTCAAGATCCAACTCTATGAATGAGATCTTTCGTTCAAGTACAAAAGTTGAAAGATATCACATCTAATTCATCAGACTAATTATCTCAAGTGAAAGAGAGTATACGATTATGAGTGAATCTAGTGTAAGATAAAGAGCTCCGATGAAAGACTTATTCAATAAATGTTGGATGTTATTCATATCCATGGATAGATATTAATATCAAAAGCAATTTATATAATTTTTTTATTCATTTATTTCTCCTCGTGTGCTCACTCTGCTCAGTCTATTTGTGCTTGCTTTGTTTTGTTAAATGATTAATAGTATTAAATCAGTACCCATCTGCACTTTCATACATTACAGTTTGCTTTTTTGAGACATTAAATGGAAAATTGAATTAATTTTTTTTTCTCGTTACACTCTGTGTATTTTTTTATGTCTGTATGAGACCTAAGCTGTCTCCATAGACATACAACATCATCAAACAGCAGCAGCATAACAGCAAAAGAGGCAGCAATGGAAATGTAAATCTCATGTTTGTAAATATTGTAGCAATTTCCTCCTTCATCTCCACTCAAATTTCTCTTTCCTTCTTTATCATTTTTCTTTTTTGTCTGTACTCATTCTTTCAATCTTTGTTGCTGTTTTTCTGGCCATCAAAACATACAGAAAAACTATCATCTAATGGCTTTATGTGATATTATTACTATTTACTTGTGGTTCCCCTTTTAAAAACAACAAAACAGATATCTCTTTCGGATTACATTTTTGTATGTGTATAAACGCATGACATGAATGAAGATATCGATGACAAGAGCAGATCAATTGCATGATTATTCCAATAAACAATTTTTCAAAATAAATGTCATCTGCTTTAAGTCTCATGTACATTAAATGTATTAAAGGAATGAAAATCACTCGGAAAAATATAATACACAGAAATTGAGGACTAATGAAATTATTGACCCCTTTTCTTCCTTTTACTGTTTGCTTGTGCTAAAATGAGATGATAAAATATATTTTATTGGAGTGGATTTGATGACTTTTCAATAAATTTGTTGCTGATCATCAAAATAATTTTACTTTTGTGAATTTGAAAAGAATATTGCTTGTAAGGTGGCACTTTTGATAGTTGTTGAATTTTATTTGCTGAACTGCTAGATTTTCTTTCTTAAAATTCGAAAATAGCTCAAGGATATATAGCTTGGAAACAACTTGATTGCCTTGATAGCTCATCAAAACTAAACAAATCAGATCGAATCAATGATATAATTATTTTATAATGAAAAATCATCTCGAGAAAAATCTAATTAGACTCAAAACTAAACAGCAGTGCATTGCTCTATGAAATTGTTTTCAATTTATTTTTCCACTCGTTTGTTACCCTTTTTATCTCCCTTTGCACAACAACAATCACTGTATGTATGGAGATGGATCACTCATGCTGATATTTATGCTCATGATACAAATGAAAAAAAAAAATTAACAATTAAATCCAAGAGAAGAAAAGACAAAAAAAAATTTAAAGCACTTCTGCTGTTTTTGCTGTATATTCTACTCTATCCGATGTGTGTATTTACTGCAGAGACATGAAATGAAAATTAGAACCCATTGAAGCATCAAATGATTAATGATGTCCTCTAGAAATCTTCTTTAATACATTTTATGTTGTTTGGATAACATACATACACAGATATACATAAATGATGTTTATGCTGTGTAGTCGAAAAAATAAAATAATGAAGAAAATTAGAATTAAAGTATTTTCAACAAAAACAGGCACTTGCATCTGGTTATTTTAAATAAACAGTAATTTAAATAGAGGAATATTATTTGGATAAGAATTAAATTCATTTTGGTTTGATTCGCACAAGGGTTTGCGTCATTCAAAAATATTATTATTGTTATTCTTATTGCTGTTCCATTTAGACTTAAATACTTCAATTTTTTTTATTATTTTTGCTTACTTTAATAATTCCTTTTTTTTTGGAAAAAAAGGATCAGAAGGAGAATGAGAGAAAAATTATTTTCATCGTGGAAAAGAAACATTTGAATTGTAAAAGGAAATATTATTCATGAAATTCGTTCTTGACTCCAGCTGGTACTACGCATCGATATACATATACATTATGTATGTACAAAATTGAAAGAATGAAACGAGGACGAAATAAAAAATGTTTGAAGTTTTATTTTAATTTAAAAAACCCCAAGCTAAGTATTCTCTCGTTTGTGCCACAGTGCCTTACCCTACACACGAACACAAAAAATTCAATCATTTCAATACCTTCGTTTCCATCCATCCCAGACCTTTATACATATTTAATAAAATAATATTTTTAGCGTGTTTTTGCAATTGAATTGTGAACTTCTGCTCACTTTTGACGGTTGACTAGAATCACAATATGGAGTAACTTAAGTTTTATGTTTTAAATGCGCCTTATTCACCGACTTATCCGATACCTTTTAAGTACGTCTTTTTCGATGGTTGGAAATTTTATTTCATATTTTTTTTTTCTTTATTATTATTATTTTTCGATTTGATTTCATGCTGGTGAAAAATAATCATTTAACACCATTTCAATCTTGCGCGCACCGTAAATTCTCATTTCAATTTTTCTTTCTTGTTACTTTGCCAACAGTATTTTTTTTTGTATATTTAACTATATGCTGAATACATGAACTTGTATGATAAACACAGAACATCAACATCATCAGCAGCAGCAATAACAACAAAAAGGGCATATAGCTTGCATGTAGTCAAAAAAGAAGCAAAG